GACGGCTGTGGGAAGACGTTTCACATGTAATTTCACTGTCGGTGGATGTGCTGGCCAAGAAAATCCATATACACGCAAACAGTAATCTGGCTATCTCAGACTGACTCGAAGACAGTGACTGAGTTAGCCATTGACTTTGTGTCTATCGTTAAAAAATATAAAGTAGAGTAAACAGAAAGTAATTCACTGTAAAATGTCCATTTAGTAATTCATTATAAAGTGGATCTGACCGTCACTGCTTTGTATATCTCATTTGAAAAACTTATGTGCCGAAATACATTGCATGTTATTTTAAAGGGGGAAAAAAACAACACAAACATTTGACCTATATATATATAAAAACTGTTTTCTCACCCCTCGTGGGGTGGTATGTGTCATCCTCAAGCTCGGGTCCTCTACCAGAGGCCTGGGAGTTTGAGGGTTCTGTGCAGTATCTTAGCTGTTCCTAGGACTGCGCCCTTCTGGACAGAGACCTCTGATGTTTTACCTGGAATCTGCTGTAGCCACTCTCCCAGTTTGGGGGTCACAGCCCCCAGTGCTCCAATTACCACTGGCACCACTGCTGCTCTTACTTTTCAGATCTTTTCTAGCTCCTCCTTCAGTCCTAGGTATTTCTCAAGCTTCTCATGTTCTTTCTCCTTGATGTTGCTGTCGCTTGGGATTGCCACATCTATCACTACTGCCTTCTTCTGCTGTTTGTCGATCAACACGATGTCTGGTTGGTTAGCCATCACCTGTTTGTCAGTCTGGATCTTGAAGTCCCATAGGATCTTAGCTCGGTCATTCTCAACTACCTTAGGAGGTGTCTTCCATTTTGACCTTGGGACTTCCAGCCCATACTCATGGCAGATGTTCCTGTACACTATGACAGCTACCTGGTTGTGGCGTTCCATGTATGCACTTCCTGCCTGCATTTTACACCCTGCTGTTATGTGCTGTATTGTTTCAGAGGCATCTTTGCACAGTCTGCAGCGGGGGTCCTGCCTGGTGTGGTAGACCCTGGCCTCTATTGATCTTGTACTGAGTGCCTTTTCTTGTGCTGCCATGATTAGTTCCTCTGTGCTGTCCTTCAGTCCAGCCTTTTCCAGCCACTGGTAGGATTTTTTTATATCAGCCACTTCTTCTATTTGTCTGTGGTATACGCCGAGCAGCGGATTGTCCCTCCATGATGGTTCTCCTTAATCTTTCTTGTCCTCACTTTCGGTTTTCTCCTGCCTGAGGTATTCGCCAAGCCATTTGTCTTTGGGGGCCATCTTTCTGATGTACTCCTGGATCTTAGTTGTTTCATCCTGGACAGTGGTCTTGACACTCACTAGCCCTCGGCCTCCCTCGCTACGCTTGGTGTACAGTCTCAGAGTGCTGGATTTGGGGTGGAACCCTCCATGCATTGTGAGGAGCTTTCTCGTCTTGATGTCAGTAGCCTCCATCTCCTCCTTTGGCCAGTTTATTATACCAGCGGGGTATCTGATGACTGGTGGGGCATATGTGTTGATGGCTTGGATCTTGTTTTTCCCATTCAGCTGACTTTTCAGGACCTGCCTTACTCTTTGTAGGTATTTAGCTGTGGCAGTCTTTCTTGCTATCTCCTCGTGGTTTCCGTTAGCCTGTGGCACCCCAAGGTATTTGTAGCTGTCCTGAACATCTGTTATGTATATATATATATATAGATATAGATATATATATATATATCTATATATATATATATATATATATATATATAGATATATAGATATATTGCTGCATTGTTTTTATTATCAATGTAACATGCAAAATATTGTTGCACATGACACATGAGATATATTACATGATTTATAGACTTCATTGACTTCATAATAACTATGCTATTTTTTTTATTATAAGTTAAAATGAAAATGAGAACATTATCGTTGTTTGATGCTGAAGCACACATGTTGTTCACATCACTTCAGCTATCCAATGAATAAATAGAGATCAGTGACGTGAACACATACAGTGGTGACATCATGTGGCCCAAACCGTGAATAACAAGGGTTCCATCTCTTTAATGTGTTTTTTTTTTTTTTTTACCTTTTCCTAACATGAATGATGAACCAAGCCAAAACATCTTACAATAAAACAGAGATTCAGTGAGGTGTCGCTTTGAACCATGTATGACATTGGAGAACGGCTAATTTCGACTTGATCTGCGTCAGTTTCACAGCACCTACAAGGTACCGCTGGCTAACTGTAAGGCCAGCCAAGCTTCTGGCTGATTGCAATGCCCAAAGCCACAAGGCCTGCAGAGACCGGATGGCTGTCCAGAGAGATGGAAGAAATTCTGATTTCTCTCACTTGCACAAGTCTCCGCCTCGTGCTTGGTTTACTATCGGTGACATTCAGGAGTACAGAGCAGATTCTGTAATAGAAGCAGGGGCAGATTTACCATCAGGCAATACTAGGCAGTTGCCTAGGGCCCCAAGATCCTGGGAGCCCATAAAACTCTGTTTACATGTATGGTTAATACAACTATTCCTTATTTGTGCACATTGTTTTTGATAAAAATCCTAAATGCCATCAGAACCCCCCCTTCAGTGTCCACCACATTGGATCAGTCCACTTGCGGCACATGTTCAGAAAGGTCCAAACAGACAGCAGCGGCAAAACAACTAATGCGAATAGCTGTGTTGCCAACTTAGCGCTTTTGTTGCTATATTTACTGACTTTTCAGACCCCTCTAGCACTTTGATTTAAAAAAAAAGCACCCAGCGCCAAATCTAGCAACTTTTTTCTTCTACTGGAGACTTTGGGGACAACATCTAAAAGCACTGAACTCTGCTCTCCAGAGCGAGTAGATTGGTAACCCTGCCTCCTGCTCTCCTCTATCTTGTCTGCTGTCATGATTCATGTAGCTATTATTTCATCCAAATGAAAAATGAAAAACAGATAAGCAGATCATAGCTTGTCTACAGTGAAAAGAAGGACTGGGTTATTTACTTTTGCCGTCACGTTTTTGGAAACACAGGACGGAGAAATCGGCTCCTTTTGATGTTTTATTCCTTTTGAGACAGCATGAAAAGTCAGCTGAGTACAAAACAAGAGAGAAAAACAAGAAAAGGGTGAAGAAGAGAGGGACAAAACATATAACAAATAATGTATGTGTATTCTATTGAGATTTCTCTATCTGTATAATGGGTCTGTTTTATGTGTTGCCTTCTCAATTCAGAGGGCCCCCCTGCCTGACTTTGCCTAGGGCCCCAAATTTTCTAAATCCACCCCTGCATACAGGGAACGGAGATTGAGATAGGCTTAAAGAAAAACAACTTTATACTGATTGAAAGAATATTAATAGCAATAAAAATTAAATAAAAAACACACAAAGATTATTTTGAAAAAAACAAAACTTTTATTAACTTAACAAGCATACAAAACAACAAATCATTCTCAAACTACCAGTGCGTTTTTTTTAGTGCAATTCCAAAATATTTTCATATATATTCCATATGGGCATGTTAATAATCAACCGTCAGAAACAGCCTTTTAAATAATTTGATTATCTTTTAACAATTATCTATTTAAAGGAAATTCACACATCATACCGTCTTGAGGTAAAACTGTACACGTTCAATGCTTAATGTACAAAACAAAGCACTATGGATCGACACTTTAAATACATGAACAGAAGCACAATACAAATCAAAGCATTTGTTAACGACTTAAAGAAAAAAAAAAGATGTTTTGGTCTTTTTTTAATAAATATATAGCTAATGCATCATTTCATAAACAGAATTTGGTCTGAAAGTTACAGACTGTCAGTTTCTATTAAATAAAAAAAAGAAAAAAAAGTTATTTTCTCTGAATTTAAAGCTGCAGCATTGTTTAACCTGCAGGCCCAGGAGCTTTTTTTTATCCTAAGCCATCAGGTAGAAAAATAAGGATAATAATAATGTAACATTCAACCCTCGATTCTTTAACAGCGATCCTAAACAACACAAGCAGATTTCATTAACTTAAAGATTCCTGTTACTTTATGAGCAAATCATGGTATTACCCAGGCACAGCGACGCAAAAAAGCGCAAAGAAGCAAAAGAACAAAGTAAAAGTCACTGGGTTCCAACATGTCGCCCTTTTTTTGCATTTTCAGAGTCTTCCAGGTTTCGTTGCTGACTAATAGCAACCAATCATCATCCATATTCACCTTCATTTTGGATCTCTTAGGGCTTTTAATGATCAAAGTCATAAACCCTGGGAACAGGGAATCATTTATTTCATGTATAATTGAAATAAATTATGCATTTTCTGGAACTTCTTTCTACACAACTATGGAGTGAACTTTGTTACATTATTGCTGCAAGCAAAAAATCTGTTTTGTGAATGGAAATCTAAAAAAAGTGCACTCCAAAAATTTAACTAAAAAAAAAAAATAGAAAAGAAGGTATGGAGAGAAACTTGGCTGTTGATTCTAATTTAGCTCAAATTTTAATTTTTAATGCTTTATTTCTATTCATTTTTCATTTGCAGATATGATATTTTCAATTTTCTACTTTTTAGATTGCATTCTTTTAAGTTGTGTTTTACAAATCACATTGTCTTCAACCCTGGGGGGGGCGGGCTGTCCTCTGGCGTGAGGAAGCAATGAAACAGTTTTTATTAACATATAAAAAAAATGAAAGAAAAATAATTATTAGAAAAAACATAATTGAAGAAAACAAATAGTCACCCCCCCAAAATTTTTTTTTTTAAATCATAAAATTTTTCTAGTGTATCATTTTTGGATTGCATTTTGTTGAATTTCGATTTCCAAAACATATTATTTTATTGAAATAATAAAAGGGACATAATTAACTTAGTTAATCCAGAGCTCTGTAGATTTTAACTCTATAAAATGATCCTCACTTCTGCATAACTAAATGTTCCAATGAGATGCCCATCTATAAATACCTTTAGTTAATGGATATTTCAACTGAGCCCATAACCGAGTCGTCTCTTCTTCCTCAGATGCTGCAGGTACAACGTTGCATTAAGAAAAGAAATAAACTCATTGTGAAATTGTATGGTACTTTCAATACTATTTGCCCTTTATAAAAGCGAGGAACAGGTACATTATATAATATTTGTGCCATTTCTCTAATATGCGAGATTGAAAAAGCACTGGAGGTTTCATTCAGCACCAAGCCACGCAGCAGAACACCTACAGGCCTTTTAAGACACAACTTTCAATCACAGCATGTTGAACGTACAGATGACAGCTGGGTGAGCTGTGGCCGTCCTTTTAACCGAGTCTGGATTCTAATAAACACCGATTAGCATCAGCAGCTAACTTCTCTAGCTGCTACACCCAAAGTTCGTCACAGAATATAAAAACCAGGAGCTGATACCAGTCCAGATGTCCTGGGCTACATGTTTTAGTGTAGCCTGAAGAAATGAATGTGGGAGAGAACAAACACAAAGGAAGACCCGTGTTTTTAATGATGAAACAGAAGGAAAGGCATGGCCACAGCCTTAAAGGGTAATTCAACACGAAAGCTGTGGTGGACGTGTGCTTCACCTGCTGCCTGATGTCACAGCAGGTGTTCTCCGCAGCAGGTGTCTGCTGGTCCGGGGCTGTGGGGGGGGGGATTAGAGTAGAGCTTATCTGATTCCGTGTTCAATTACCCTTCAACGCTCCTCTTTTTGGTGTCCGCCCAGCAAGGTCTGTACACTCCACCAGCTCCTCCATCACCCAGCAGGCCGTCGGCTCTACCTGATGCACTCCTCATCTGACAGGCTTTCTGGTTCTTCGTTTTCGCTGTCGTCTAGCTCAGGGAGATCCCCCCACAGCAGCAGATTCAGACCTGCAGACGTTTTTAGGTTACAGAGAAAAGGTCTTAAACAGAATTCCTTGTTTAGTCAACTGATGAAAATATAACCACCACTTCAGTTCATTTAGTCGCACAAAGGGTGGTTCCACCTTAATAAAGTGATCATTTAAGTTTGAGGATATGAAACAACAGTTTGCTAAAGAAAGCAGCGCTGATTTATTATGATTTGGTTTATTTGTGATTAATCGATTATTAATCGTCAACTAATATAGTAATTGATTAATCGTTAACTGGAGTATAGAGACTGTAAGGTATGCCTGTAGCTGACAGATCAACACACCTAAAGCAGAAATTATAACAAGAGTAAAAAATATATAAATATTTTGCATTAAAAGTCGTAGGGAATCGGCCGTTCCAATCGTTGCATTTCCGAATTCTCCCGAGTGGTGCACGACTTAACACGAATGAATAAAGTGAAGGTGATTGGTTGTTTATCAAGGAGGTGGGGTTTGTTGTGGCGGAAGGTTCGCAAGCATGTTTGATTGTGACTGGTTTCTTCAAAGCATCGTTGCTAACCAGATTTTAAGACAGGATTTTTTTATTAAATAAAAATTCTCGAAATTTTGGGACAGTATGGTCTGATAAAGAGTACATTTATATACATGTTTAAGCCAGAATGATTTGAAATTCAAATATGACTTCCCTACAACTTTAAGATAAGAAAAAAATGTCTGTCAATATGCTCTATCCAGAACTCCTCAAGTGGAAAAGTTTGAGTTTCACCTGGTTGGATTTTGTGGAAAAAATCTTCTTTCAGGAACCTTTGGCTATCCAATTATTAATCGATTATAAAAAAAAAAAAATCTTTAAATTATTCGATTCGCACAATAATCAGTAGTTTCAGCCCTATAAGACAGTAAAACAAAAATAATCGGGTAATGCTTACATTGGGTAAATACAAATTTTAAATAGAAATTTTCAAAGCTGCAAATCATATAGGAAAATAAAAGTTTAGGAAATTAATATAATGTTTGGTGGGAGGTATTGCTGAAGAGTCAGAAACAAAATGCAAGTAAAAAGCATCAATGCAAGCTCACTGAGGAGGAGCTTGAAGTCAATGACTGGATGCAGTCAACTAGTTTTCCTTTCTGACTGCATCATCTCTGTAAAGTGCCTTGACATGACTCGTGTTGTAAATTGTTGCTATAGAAATAAAATGAACTGAAATCAAATTGAAAACGGTATGCTAAGAAGACTGAATTTATAAATGTTTAGATAAAAGTTTTTTATTTGCTCCTTACTGTTAACTTCATGTGACTTCAGATGATTTATCTGTGAGAAAACAAGTTTAGAAGTTACAAGAGTCCAACTACAAATCGAAAATGTATAACCCCTGAGGAGAATGTTCCGCTCCTCACCAGCTGGTGGCAGTAATGCACCTGAATTAAAGGACCATGATTAAAGGAGAAGAATAAAGGTGGACAACAATTAAACCTTGTACTGCATGTCACTACCCGATCCGTCCTTCGCATGCACAGAATGATATATATCCAGGTTTCCATAAATAATGTAATTATGGTACTAAAATCACTTACTTCTATCCTTAACTCTCTAAAGAATGCTGATACACATCTTTGAAAAAAGGTTTTCTGACTTTTCGGATACATTTTTGATGTTTTTTTATATACAAGTATTATAATTAAGTAATAAAGTAGAAGTTGAAATACTTCTGTTTAAAAACACTTCTGTAGAAGTTAAGCGTATCAAATTAAAAGTACTGCAGGAAAAAAATGATTCTTTACTGTACTACCCTATTAAAGGAACATATCTTTTACAGTTCTGAATCCTAATATCCTACTTAATTTTTAAGTAGGATATTAGTTCTAAAACTAATAGCAACAGTGTGAAAATGACCTTTGCATCATCTTAAAATATGTTGGTGTGTGTGTGGTGAACAACAGGTTGGGGCAGCACAGAGTCCAACCAGAAGGAAATTAATTGTCTGGATGAAACTAATTATTTTGATGGTTTTTATTTTTTTTAAATACCAACAGGCAGGAAATTAATCTTAAATGACACAAATTTAATTTTTAAAATGTAAGAAGTAGAAGTAAAATGTTGTCTACAGAATAGATAGCCCCCTCCAAGCTTTCTTTCTGAAATGGGTTGTTGTACGATGATTACAACCTTATTCTCGTAATATTACAACTTTTTTCTCGTAATTTTATGCCTTTATTCTCAAAGTAAACAATTTTAAAAATCTCTATCCTGGCCCTAATACTCCATCGTAAGATTTTTTTCCCCATTTCTCCATGTGATTGTTTTACTATAGTATTTGTTTTCAGGCTTTCCCTGCGTCATTATCAACTGTGCCACAAAAATGTGCCTGGTCAAAAATGACAAAGGAAGGGTTTTTATACTGACCCGTAGCATCAAGTCTGTTGAGAGTGGACACGGCGTCACTGTTAAACATCCAGAAATGGCCATTGTTACATGACAGGAGGCAGGGTTTGCAGGGGGCAACCACGTGATAACCCACAACATTGCCACTGGAAGCAGGAGTTAGAGGGAATAAAGAACAAACCATAGGTCAGCACTTTTAATTTGGGTTCATGTGTGAAAAAGTGCTTGCTCCACTAGTGCCTATTATGTACCAGCTGTTGGGGATTTTTTGCCTTGTGTACAACAACAACAAAAGCCTGGCAAAATAAAAGATGCTATGCAGCTCTGCTGTGATGTCAAATAACAGTAAAACATGCAACCATTAAACTACTTAGCATCTATTTTTATTTGTCTCACATGCATTTTAAGGGAAAAGATCACAACACCTAACTAGTATTGTAATAAAATAGTCCAGAACAAGAGATAAATTACATTTATTCCCATTAGTAACTTTATAAAATAAAAAAAGAAAGATTCAAACATCCTTGGGCAAACTTCAAAATGTAATGATAAAATATACATACCATTTAAGACATGCAATGTCTCTCAGTTTGCATTTGCAGCTGTCAGTAGAGTAGCAGCTGGCAACAAAATCAACAGTTCTGAGGACAGAAAGCATTCAGATATAAACAGAGGGCAAAAACAACATAAAATCAATGTTAAGATTGAATAAGATTAGGAGGATGGGGGTGGGAGGGAAAAAGTTTGTGTTATATTTTATATTAAATCATCTTCCTTGTATGGTTTTGACGAAGGAGTATTAGGGCCAGGCTAGAGATTTTTTTTTTCTATTTCGAGAATAAAGTCATAAAATTACAAGAATAAAGTAGTGACGTTACGAGACTAGTCATAACATTATGAGAATAAGTCATAAAATTACAAGAATAACCTCGTAAAATTACGAGAATAAAGTCGTAAAAAGAACGAGAATAAAGTAATAAACTAATGAGAATAAAGTCGTAAAATTACGAGAAGTCGTAAAATCACGAAAATAAAGTTGTAGCGAGAACAGTCATAAAATTGCGATAATAAAGTCGCAATGAGAATAAAGTTGTAACATTATGAGAATAAAGTCCTAATATCGCGAGAATAAAGTCATAACGTTATAAGAATAAAGCTGCAACGAGAATAGTGATAAAATTATGAGAATAAAGTAATAAAGTTATGAGAATGGTCATAACATTATGAAAATAAAGCCGCAATGAGAATAAAGATGTAAAATTACAAGAATAAAGTTGCAATGAAAATAAAGTTGTATAAATGCGAGAATAAAATCGTAGTATCGCGAGAATAAAGTCATAACATTACGAGAATAAAGTCAGATCAAGAATAAAGTCATAAAATTACGAGAATAACTAATAAAGTTAACAAGTCAATAAAAGAAAGGTAAACCCGCTAATTGAAAAGTGAAAAAATAAAGTAAAAAAATTTTCTTTAGATTTATAAACAAAGAAATTTGAAACAGTGCCAGTATCAGCATTAATACCACTAAGGTTTGGTTGTACCGACCAAAAAATGTGTTTCTTTCACTCTCATAGTGTTTTTCATTAATTTCTTATAGAAGCACTATTGTTATTTTCCTTAATATATTCAAGCAAGTTGCCTTTTTTCAAAGTATTTCACCGAGTGCCCTATAAAGGGTTAATAAAACAAATCTTTAAAAAAAAAACAGATTAAGATTTTAATTAAAATTTCTATACATGTTGCATTTTGAGTAGAAACACGTAACAAAACAATGTTGATATTTTAACTATTTCCATCCCGTTGTAGAAAAAGCAGCAGCGGGTAAAAACAAAGGCTAGCAGCAATGCTAATCCGGTTAGCACCAACCTGTTTGGAGGAATATCTGTAGAAAAAAGCTCAACTTCTGTGTCTGCAAGAAGCACAGCCTTCATCCCCCTGGTGCACAGCAGACTGTCGCAGAAGATGCAGTTCACCTGGGCAACACATTTGTTCTTAAAGCTGGAGTTGGATGTGGACATTGTTCTTAAGATAATCTAAATTAGGAAGAAATCCCTATTGGTGTTTAAATCGGTGACCTTAAACTAATCTAGATCGGGTTAATATCGGATGATTAATGTTTATTCTCGATGAGGAGATGCCTGCTGCTCTAAGGTCCTTGTGTAAACAACGTTAGCTTCTTTTATCCTCCCTCCAGCGCTAAACGGAAGACAGGTAACAGGAAACCGATCTAAGGAATAACAGCAGAACGATTGTTACATCCAAAGCGGTGTAATTTAATCCGCACACATGAGCAACATCGGCTTTTTAATCCGCTAGTTCAGCATCCGTGCAAATGTAGTGAACAGCTAACTCGATAGCTGTCAGCTTTGTTTACAACTTCCTGATATTTAACGACACTTCCTGAAACTACGTTTAAAACACCGGAGATCGGTTTCTCATTGGTTGCACACTACAGGAACCAATATCATTGGTCAGTTCCCTTCCAGTGCCTGGATTTGATTGGTTAAAAACTAAAGTTAAAAAAGTTTCACTGAATTATCTGAAAAGCTATTATTCATTTTTTAAAACCTTATTATTTTAACCTATTAGCCTACTATTCATGATAATTTCATTTAAATGTCAGTTGTCTAAAGAGCTAGATGTTTTTCTTTTCTGACATTTGTTTTATTTATTTTTTCAATAACTGACAGGATGAAAAAGGAATATACAATGAAAGACCAAAACAAATAACCAAGTTATGAAAAAAATAAGTAATAGAAGAAACATAAATGTGAGTAACAATGATTTACTAACAGTATTTAAGGTCTTTTATCATTTCCCAAATTCCAAAATCATATGTGGAGTTTTGAGTTCTTTTGAAAGAGGAAAAATGCAAATTGCATGTATTTTTTTTACATTTAATTTGTGATATTTATTATTAATATTAATATTTTACATTTGTAATGTAATCCACAGTCTCTAAAGTTATGCTCTCTGTGCTTTTTCTCATAGTAGCTTCACCTCGTCTGTTTCTGTTTGGCTGTGACACCATCCTAGAGAGAAATATCAGCTGTGCTGCTGCCATCAACACCTTTGTTTATAGATGTTCGAGATCGGGCTGTTTTTCCAGTGTAGTCCTGTTTCTCCGACTATGACTGGCTGGATGTGCTCTCTTCATCCTCTGACATGGGAGTTGGCTCGGAACTTGTTTGCCTGGCTGTGTGTTTCCTGGGCAGGGCCGCTTTTTACAGCTGCTTTTTGTATCTCTGCTTCTGTCTCTTTGAACCCCAGTCGGCCTCAGCAGATGGTCGCTCGCACTGAGACTGGTTCTGCTGGAGGTTTCTAAAGGTTAAAAGGGAGTTTTTCCTCTCCACTGTCGCTACAGGCATGCTTAGTGTGAGAGATTGCATTCGAATCAATGAGTCGATGCAATCAGCTGGTTTTCTTCCCTTAGATAGAAAACTTTGAATCAATTCGACTGTACAATCTGGTGAACTGTAAAGTGCCTTGAGATGACGTGTTGTAAATTGCCGCTATATAAATAAACTGAATTTAATTCAATTGAATAAATATCCATCTATATTAATTCCCTTGTGCAATAACCCTATATAATAATCCGTCTATAAAAAACTTTAAAAGCTGTCATGTGGACTCACTGTATATACTGTATATATATACGATGCACCTTTTTCTTCCTTTGGGACATTCTTCTTCTTTGACAATTTGAGCTGATGTCATGAGTAAATTTTTTCACTGTGAGATCAATAAATTCAATTAATCAATCAGTCAAGCTACTGTTCTGGTTCCACAAACCAAAAATAAGAATGATTAAAAAGGAATGATGAGAGTATCGTCTCCAGTATTCAATGCACTGGAGAAAAGTATTTGGCCCCTTGTACTTTTAAAACTTTTGCTACGTTTCAGACTTTGAACATAAATCTTATTTATTTTCATTTTTTGGGACATAAACAGGAAGTGGAATGAAATGTATTGGAAATAATTAGATATTTTATTGGCTATTTAAACATTTGATAGGGATATGGAGTATTCTATTGTAGATTTTGCTTTCTGTTTTGGATCATTGTCTTGTTGGAAGATAAATCTTCATCCCAGTCTCAGCTCTGTTGCAGACTTCAACAGGTTTTCTTCCAGAATGCTCCTGTACTTGGCTCCATCCATCTTCTCATCGTTTTTAACCATCTTCACTGTCCCTGCTGAATTAAAGCAGGCCCAAACCATGATGCTGTGGCCACAGCATTTGACAGTGGGGATGGCATGTTCAGGGTGATGAGCTGCGTTGCCTATATGCCAAACATAATGTTTTGCATTGCTGCCAACAGGTATAATTGGTCATTTCATCTGACCAGAGCACCTTCTTCCACATATGTGCGGTGTCTCCCAGGTGGCTTCTGGAGAATTCTAAACCAGATTTCTTATGGATATCTTTAATAAACTGCTTTCTTCCCTAAAGACCAGATATGTGGAGCATATAACTGTTTGTTTTCCCATGGACAGAGTCTCATATCATCCAGCAGGCATTCCCAAACTCGGTCCTCAAGGCCCCCTGTCCTGCAGGTTTTAGAGGTTTCTCTGCTTCAGTACAGCTGAATATAATGATTGCAGTAGACCAAAAGCCTGTTAATCAGCTTTCAATTAAAATCAGCTGTGGTGGAGCAAGGAAACCTCTAAAACCTGCATGACAGGGGGCCTTGAAGACCGAGTTTGGGAATGCCTGATCCAGAGTGATGATGGCTGCATCTCTCATCAGTCTTCTCCTTGTTTGACTTGAAAGTTTAGAGGAACGGCCGGGTCTTTGTAAATTAGCAGTAGTCTAACACTCCTTCCATTTCAATATTATCGCTTGCACAGGGCTTCCTGGGATGTTAAAGCTTGGGAAATCTTTTTGTATCCAAATCCAGCTTTAAACTTCTCCACAACAGTATCTCGGTCTGCCTGGTGTGTTCCCTGTTCTTCAAGATAATCTCTGCCCTTTAAACAGACCTCTGAGACGACCACAGAATAGGTGCATTTATACAGAGATTTGATTACACACACGGATTATATATATTATTATTTATTATCATCAGTCATTTAGGTCAACATTTGATTCATTCAGAGATCCTCACTGAACGTCTGGAGAGAGTTTGCTGCGCTGAAAGTAAAGGGGCAGATTCATTTTGCACACCCAACTCTTCAGCTTTTTTTTTTCAACAAAAGTTTAAATTATCCAATATTTTTTTTACACTTCATGATTCTGTTGATCCTTTACAAGAAATGACAATTTTCTATCTTTATGTTTCAAGCCTGCAACATGGAAAAACACCGATCAAATCAAGCGGAGCGAATACCTTTGCAAGGCCCTGTTGTTCTTTAGGAACTCTTGTGATCACAGGTTTATTATTTAGGAAGCATTTCACTCTGCTGGTGGGGAGGCTGTTATCTAGGCAGACGTTTATGCAATCAGTCACACAGATGTCGTTTCCGTGGGGCTGACACAGTGCATCCCAGTCCATAAGCCCCGAAACAACCTTGTAGGGTTTCTTCAGCTTCCTGTGACCATCTTTTTACAGTTCTTCCTAATGCACATTATCTTTATAAAGTGGCTTTTACTCTGAGCTGAGTATAAAGATTGTGATTTGATTTCTCAAGAAATCTTACTTTAGAAATGTATAAGTTCTTTACATTTGCATAAAACAAGTCCAAAGTTTAGTTTTCTCTGGTATAGCAGCAGAAGAACTGTTTGAACATTGGCAGTATAGCATAAAATGAGACATGGTTAAAATCACCAGTTACTGCCATAAATGCATTGGGCTTTTGTGTCAGTAGGTCAACACCAACAGAACAGATTACATTACATATAGTTTCGGCAACGGCAGAAGGTGAAGTAAATGGTTTCCAGATGAACACTGGTAAACTCTATGGGTAAATGATGTGGCTGAAAACCACCTGTCAATGGTTCAATATCTGCGCTGTAGTGATGAATATTCCTGGATGACACCATCTGTTGTTCACAAGCACTGACGACCCACTCCCCTTGAGTTTTCCAGTCTTCTTTAAATCTATGTCTACTCGTATGACCCTAGCATAGAGGCATTGGAGTCAAGGGATATGATCCTGCAGCCATTTTTCAGTAAAACACATAATGCTGCATTGCTGATATTCTAGCTGAGTCCTTTCTAGAACTAAGAGTGCTTTTAACTTGTTTCCTCTCTCTCTTCTCTTTGCTCCTGCTCTGCATCCTCTGCGCCTGCTGTTCAGCTAAGTTAGCACTTGTGGAAGTAGTTTAAGTATTATTTCGGCTTTAGAGATGTTAAAAAGCGGTTGCTGGCTGTAAAAAAAAATCTACTTCCTATGTTTTCCATGATTAAGCAACATAACAATTGTCCAAAAAAAGAAAAAATATCTGTAAAAATCCATTCAGTTTCACAGCATACAAAACCAGGGGCAAAAAACATAAGGAAAAGGAAGCCCTGATTCACAAAAAGAGCTAAGATTTTCTTTTAGAAAGAAATTTTTCATCAGAATCAAGCGAGCAGAGCTACTTCAACGTGCAGCCACCTTAAGCAGCACAATTTTACAATAATAATTTAGAAGAAAAAAAATATTTTGTTATAATATTTTGTTACATTTCTAGTCTTTACAAAGGGAACTATTTATATAGATACATGCCCTCTGGTTTTGCATAGTTTCTTTTCATTATTAAATACACAATGACATTAAAGAGATAAATTGGTCTTAAGGTAAGAACCTACATCTTAACGTTTCATTGAATACAATATTTCTAAATGTTACACTGAAGAAAAAAGACTGTAATTGTCCTTTAGGAAGGCTTTGACATCACAAGGGGAATAATAAAGTAGCTGATCAATTGGCGCTAAAAAAAAAACAGATGAAAAGCCTCAACAATCAACTTGTATTTAAGATGTAAGGGTTTCTGTATTACACTTTTGAGTCAGTTTGACTCCAGTGACCCTGAAAGCCATAATCGATGCAACCATTTTGATAGTTTTCTTCTTCAGGACAGAAGGTGGTTAAAATCTGTTAATTTTCCAGTTTGAATGTTGATCCATCTGGTCGGTTTATGTTTATATTACACACTCATAGGATTAGTTAATACATTTTGCTTACTGTACATTAAACTACAATAAAATTCATAATGCTGAATTAAAAGATAACTATAGTTATTTTTGTGGTTAAAAAGGATGAACAGAAATTTGGTTTGAGGAACATTTTTTGTATTCTTAAACCTTACGTTGTAGTTCTCATATTTGACTGTAGAGGGCGGTGTTTCCACAAAAGTGTTCTCTGGTGTCTTTATCCGTGTGAAACAAAAAAAGGTTGAATAAGTCAAACTATGTCTGATTTTAGGATCAACTGGGATGACCACCTCTGTCATCATTGGTAGTTTAGGAATTTGAGTTTGTTGGTAAAGGAAACTAAATGTAACTATATGCACATCAGTGTTAAACCTGAAAATAAAAGGGTTTTCTTTAATGGTTTATGAGTTATCCAACAACAACCTCATGCACAAATATAGATATTATTAGAAAATAACAATATTCAAAAATTAAATAAACCCTGATCATCTGTTTTATGCAATGTCACCAGAAGTGTGTATGTTTGTGTTAGATTTTGTTATGATTATAAGAAATATTTCACAGCAAAACATAATTTTGGTAGAATGGCCACTGCTGCGAAGGTGTGGCAGAATGTTAATGTTTTCTTCATTTCTCTCTCTGGAGCTGGAGAAATATGAGTATATGCCTGGCCCCTCTTAGATAAATAGATTTTTTTTAATGATGGGGATTTTTTTTCCAAGATATTTTATACTTAAAGGGGAGTGGCGGCCTAGTGGTTAGGGCAGAGAGCTTGGAATCCTGAGGTTCTGAGTCTGAGCCCCATTCCCACAGACTGCCACTCTGGGTCATCTCCGCTCCCCGGGCGTCCCACTGTGGCAGCCCACTGCTCCCCAAGGGGATGGGTTAAATGCAGAGGTGAATTTCTCCAAAATCATAAAGTTTAATTCGTTTTGTCAGATAAGATTGTATTAAATGTTTTTTTTTATTTATCTGGCAGAAATGTTGCTTTAGTGTGACCAGAAGCATGTAGCTAGTATAAAAAACAGTAGTTAATCCCACATAAACATGAAATTAACAATATGGTACAGTTCTTTTTTCAGTGGTCATTATAACGGATCTATTAAGATCATCTGATATTAAAACTAGTTTGACAATCTTAAACATTAATGTGTGTCTGGGGCGGATTTACCATTAGGCAACACTAGGCAGTTTCCTAGGACCCCATGTTCCTGGGGGCCCCATAAAACTCTGTTTACATGTATGGTTAATACAACTATTCCTTACTTGCGCACATTAATTATGTTTTTGATAAAAATCCTTTTACTAAAATGCCATCAGAACGCTTATAATGAGTGTGTCTCAGCCCCCCTTCAGTCCACCATATTGGATCAGTCCATTTATTGCACATGTTCAGAAAGGTCCAAGCAAACAGCAGCAAACCATTAGGAAAACAAAGGATTTGGTGCTATATTTAGTGACTTTTCAGACCCCTGTAGCACTTTTATTACAAAAAAGCGCCTAGTGCCAAATCTAGCCACTTTTTTCTGCTACTGGAGACTTTGGCGACAACATCTAAAAGCAGCTAACTCTGCTCTCCAGAGCAAGCAGATTGGTAACCCCGCCTCCTGCTCTCCTCTATCTTGTCTGCTGTCATAATTCATGCAGATATTATATAATCCAAATGAAAAATGGAGAACAGATAAGCAGATCATAGCTTGTCTGCAGTGAAAAGAAGGACTGGGTTATTTACTTTTTTTTATGAGTTATTTACTTAGCAATCAGCTAAGTGAGCTTAGTGCTTGGAAAAAAAATCTTTCATTCCTTTAGAGACATCATGAAAAGTCAGCTGAGTACAAAACATAGAGAGGAAAACAACAAGAAAAGGGACAAGAAGAGAGGGACAAAATATAGAACAAATAATGTATGTTTATTCTATTAACATTTCTTCATCTGCATAATGGGTGTGTTTTATGTGTTGTCTTCTCCATTCAGAGAAGGCCCCCCTGCCTGTTTTTGCCTAGGGCCCCACATTTCCTAAATCCGCCCCTGATTGTGACAAACTTCACGGTTTTAAATCTGCAAGGGTGGAAAAGCTTTATTTGGAGCGCCAGCCAAAAATGGTCTGGCTGTTAACCCTTCAGAACGTATGCAGAGCTTTAGAGGAGATAAGATGTTGCTTGCTGGCCGGTTAGAGTGCTGCCATGCTTGTCCTGCGCAGTAGAGCTGACCAGCAACACTCCATCACCACTTTGGTTTCCCCTTTCTCTCTCTTTCTCTCTCACTTCAGGAGGAGGAAGAACAGAGCAGTTGAGTTCAGACAGGCGGGCGGGCTCTGGCGAGAAAACCCGACGGAAGAGTTTTTGGCATCATAGGAACTTTTACCTATGAGCTGTGTTAGTTTCTCTTTGATTTTTCCTTTGAAAAGGGGATGAATCTTTTTCCTGTAGAAGCTGCTTTTACCATAACCGGTTTTGAGGAGGCGGAGAGGCAGGAGCAGCCGCGCCAAACGCACAATGCGCCCTGAGTGAGCCCAGGCAGGGAGGACAATACAGAGCACACCGAGAGGAGCTGCCAGCTCCCATCCCAGGATCTCTGCTTCTTTATTCCTCCAACTCTGCTCCCCTCACAGCCTTGTTCCAGGAAGGTTTTTCCTTTCATCCACAGCGGGCTTTTAGAGTTACTAGGGTGGAGGGGTGGGGGGGAAACAAGTGAGATCTGATCTCTAAACTCAGCCATGACGTCTCCGGCTAAATTCCGCAAGGACAAGGAGATCGTGGCCGAATATGAAACTCAAGTTAAAGGTAGGCTGCAACTTTTTTCCTTTGTTTTCCTTTTTAAATGTTTTTTTTTTCCTCCACAATGTGACGCAATGTTGCGTTAAATCCGCGCTCCCACGGTTTGGCACGCGCGCTCTGCGCCCTTACCTCTCATTTCTGCACCCCCTTTTTTCTTTATTTATGTTTCATTGGTTGCACCGATCAATTAGTTATTATTAAATGTATCTAATAACACTGAATGAGTTGCAGTCATTTAAAAAACGGACACCAGGGCGACTTGAAAGATGAAGGCTTGGAAATGAGGCAGCTCATTGATGGTTATAACAAAGGCAGGGGGAGGAAGAAAAAAACGCGCAGGAATCAGAGGTGTAGTCCAGATGTGGCCTAAAGAGAGAGAGAGAGGGGGGGGGGGGGGGGGGGGGGGGGGGGGGATGGATATGCAAAGGTGATGTTGAGGAGGAGAAGGAGGAGGTCAACACCAAAGCTGGGTGTAGGGCGTTTTCTTTCCCTCCTGCATGTCTGCCTCACTGCTCTGCAACATAATGGGTTAAACACACATTGCAATTAAACGATCCGATGCATTCTCATTGATTACAGCTCATCTAAAGGTCAGGGTGAGGAAAAAGCAGATTGCACTCACTGGTTTCTGTGGGTAATGTGGAGGTGGCTGCTTATCAGATTTGTGAGGTTATGAGTTTTACCTCAAGCTGCAAAAAAAGGGGGAAAAATGAGAGGTGGCAAAATGGGGAGAAGGATAGGGAAGATATAGAGAGATTAAAGGCTGGATTCTTCTTGCTTTGGTGCCAGATCACTTGATAAGATGCTCTACTACTTGCCTTATCATCAGTGGTTCTTACCTCCCATTGGGATCAACATGTTAACCTCTACTGTTACCCTTCTTCTTTAGGGGAACTGCTCTCCTTCATCGGTTGTTTTTGTCAGGGCCTGATTAGTCAGCAGCAAGGGGGACGAGGGATAAACTATGCTGCTGGACTGGAATTACTGGTGTTAAAGTACACAAATGAAAAGGGAAACATACACTGAATGTTCAGGTGTGGAGCCCTTTAAACTTTTAAATGCAGTCTCTACTTTCCTTTGGAAAGGATTCAACTCCTTGGAGGGTTGTGTGTCGCTCGCAGACTGAGAACTGTGGTGAAAATTAAATGATCACTGATGATGCTGATGGTTAAAGACTGAACATTTTCAGATTTTATCATGGTACTGAAAAAAAAGTAACTGACCTCTAACCTCTGTGGAGGAAATTGAAAAGCATTATCTGCTTCCTGACTATTTCATGATAAACACACATCTGAGAAGAGTGGGGTGTATTTTTGTGATCTTAATGATATTTAAAGTAGTACAATTTGGGTTGAATGAAAACAAATGTGTTTGGTTTGATCAAGTATCCCAACCAGGAAACAGTATGATGCAAAGATCTACAAGAGAAGGCCTGGGGTGTTTCTGGAGGAGCTTTTAAGATTCAAAGCTCAGGTGGGACGCTGTTGAGGGAGAAACTGTGGTTTATGGAATCCACAAATCGTGATGCTTAAAGATGCTTAAAGTGGAAGCATCTATTGTGCACCATCCCCGTAGTGGCACATAACAGTTGCAGCTTTACGCTGTAGGGGATCCAGGGAAGCTGCATGGAGCTAAATGCCAATCAGTCTTAGAAAAAAAAAAAGAAGAAAAGGCTTTAAAAGACCTGAGATCCATCTCCAAGCTGCACAAAGACCCAAATCCTACAGCTAGAGCTGAGCTCTGCAGCCTGCGGCGCCGGATTGGACCTTCAGCAGGGGTTAAAAATGCTAAAGAGCCGACTAATGGTTCTGATAGGAGCCTCAGCTGTTTTTTTTAAAGAGTATTTGAATTGAATTTTCCGAACTAAGCATCTTTAAAAGAGACAGAAATATGACTTTAGATTCAGGTTCTTGTCATTAGCTTAGAAGTTATTTGTGTTTCTTTTTAAATCAGCTTTTTCAACAAATGAAAAGATGATACGGAAGAAAACTCATTTTTCATATGTTACATTTTTTTCATCATTTTAAAGACTAAACATACGGATAAACTACAGGTTGTTTAAAATGGCAACACAGATATAAAAAAAAACAAGGATTTGTGTTTTATCGACATATCATTTCATATTTCCGTCTCTAAATAGCTTTATTTCATTTTTTATTTAATGAATTATTTAGCGGAGTCAGGGCAGGTTGCTGACCTTTGAACTTAACCTAAGGTGGACTTAGATCAAAGCATATTCATGTATCAGAACGGCCTAGTCAAAGTTCAGAGCTCCATCTAATAAAGAATTTATGTTTAAACTTCACAACACATGTTCACCGATGCCCTATTTTAAATCTGAGAGAGTTTCTTTAAACATTAGGTCTCAAAAAGGAAAAAAGAAAACATAATTTCTGGATGCACAGAGTCAGGTGGTACGTCCTCTATGAGCAGTAAGAGTGGTTTAATCCAAAGTCATGTCACCATTTGGGTTTTGTTGCAGAACCAGACACTTTTCTTCCAGGTTACAATCCTGCAGTACTTTGTGCATACTATTACATGAGATGTGATAGATGTGTGTGTTTGAGCCGCAGCACAGCCAATTACAGGTATATAAACATCAAAGGACGAAAACGCGCAAAGAAAATCACAGATGGAAATGAAACAGCTTACAACTTTGATTTAAGGTTATAAGCAGGTTCTTTTTGTTTTGCTACGATGAGAAAGCCGACTTCACCTAACTTAATCTTATTAGCAGTTGTTGAGTTGTTCTGATTTTACTATGTGTTGATTCAGATATAAAAAAAAAAAACACTGGGTCATTTATTTGCAATTAATATTTGTATTCAACTTTGTAAAAAAAAAAAAAAAAAAAAAAGGCTTAAATGACGAACCAGAAGTGAAAACAAGCCTTTGTTATGCAAGTCTCAGGTCTTTATCATCAAGCCTTGATGATAAAAAATTTGTCATTTTATTCTATTTGGATCACATTTTTCAATCTGCTCTGTTTTCTCTATTCCTTATTAAGCTTTATGAACTATAACATCAGCAGAATCGCTAAACAAGGCTTAGCTTTCACCGTAGCTCAGTGTTTCCCAACCTTTTTTGGGTTGTGTTCCTCTCTGGGCATTTTGTCTTACCATGAGTTCCCCTCTCTGTTAAAAGTCATGATGATTGTCCAAAAGTGGAACATACAATAACTGATTATAGAATAAAACTATAAAAAAAAAAAAAAAAAAAACATAAATATGTTTACATTAGTAGACATTTACATAAATATGTTATAAATGAGGAGCTCCTCTAATAATTCCCTTATAATCATATTTAAACTTGATGAATTAGGAACAAAATACAGAACTAAAATTATAGTCAGACTGACTTAAGTTAGTTTTACTTTGTTTTCATCAAGACACCTGAGCTGCTTCAGTGAGCTCCGATAGCTCAGTTGGAAAACCAGCTGATCGGCTGTTCTCTACATCCAGTCTGTTCCTCTGCTTGGTTTTGATGTGTTTATTTTTATTTTACTATCCTAGAAATAAATATTTTCAAGTACTCCTTGCAATGCACTTGTGGACCACTAGGGGTATGAGTACCCCTGGTTGGGAATAGCGATTTTTCAAGGCTCATACTGAATAAATCAAAAATAACTGGTTTGTATCAACCCACTGAATTCATTGAAATCCGAACCAAACCGGGTCGTTTTCAGACACACCTCAGAACAGAGTGAGAAGCAGCTTTCAGACCAAAACATTGATCTTCCACTTAATAAAGACTACTTATACTTCAGCGATAGTATCAAGGTGCTACTTTATTGTATCTCTTATACTGTGTCTGTTGGCTGTGCTGTTCTTGTTCATGAAGCAGACAGAAAACGTTTTATCATTGTCTCCCTTTTATCTCCTCTTTCTTTCATATTTTCTCCTTCTTTCCTGTTCTACTTACATTGCAGTGTCCATATACTGTGTAATACTCCCTGCTATTTATATGCATAAATCAAGCGGAATACTATGGCAATAGCCGTACTGCTCCACTTATGAAAGCAAAATCTGTTGGGCTCTTCTTTTGGCATCGAAACAATTATTCTTATTGCCACATTGCCAGACATTTTTTTGTAAAAACAAAAATATATATATATATAATTCATTAATTAATAAAAAAAATAAAGACCTTGACTGATAAAGAAAGGGTTTATAAACATGTCTTCTTTAAAGAAGCGTGACTTTCTTCCAAGGCCTTGGAGGTTCCAACACATTGAATGTTTGCTTTGTTATCTACCGATCTGTACTTTTGAACATGATGGACAAACAGGATTCCTGTAAACTCCACGAAACCACAGAAGAATCTCACCTGACTCACCTCGCGGCTGTTCCGACTTCCTCTTAGACTTTTTTAAAAACTCCTGTAATTACCAACATAGCGCAGTGTTTCTTCATCTCCCTCCAAACGGCTGTTTTTGCTTAGGCGCCTTTTTCCCCTCATTGTGACGGCTGGCAGCCATGCTTGACACACTGTGGCCTTAATGTTTGTCCATCGACCCTTCCGCATTGATTTCTGCTGCAAGTTGTTAAAGGCTGTTAAATCTTCGGGGGGTTTTTTTTGAATGAAACTGATAGAAGGGTGAACCTGCTTATCTGCATTGTTGTTTTAGGTATGTTTTCTACATTGTGCTGTTTGTGACTGTGGAGCAGAGAGGGATCTGTGTCATCCCTCTTTGTGAAAATGAGGCGCTCTGCAGCACCACACTGCAGCATCATGGGGGAAATAAATGCAAATCGTTCAGTGGATAACAGTCAGAAAGCTCTGCAGTACGAGGAGCTGCTGCACCAATAAGAACCACAATATCGTAGTGTAAATGAAGCACCTAAAGAACCTGATCATCTTGAATCTTTAAGAATAATGTTGCATCTATTCAATACTTCGAAACCCTGTAGTGTTTCTGCACTGTTCTATAACTTTACTGCACCTTACATCCAAAATAATTTTAGTAATAAAGTGCATAATGGATCCTTTTGTGACTGTCTTCTCAG